AGCAGAGCAAGCAGACCACTTTGAGAGCATCCTACCGGGCCCTAATTGGAGACAAATACAGACAGGAAGCCAGGGGAGTGAAACATGGGGAACATGAACTGACCAATTTGATTTGTAACTCAATGGGTCATTTCACCAGAAACAGCGGTATCAAGCCGTTGATTTAATTTGGATTTTATTCATCCATCCGAGATTCCAAGATACATTTTCAATTTCAATTTTTTTTATTTAGTGTGGCCGACACGCTACACTGAAGCGAAGGACTGAAGACAATTCCAATGTCCCTTCGTCTTAAAGCAGCTTCTGTCCTTCCCTTGTTCCTGCAGCCGCTGCGTTTCCAGCACCCACATCTGGGAGGATATAATATGCTCATGCTGTCGTATCCCTTTCACAGTGACATCTGTCCAGCGGCGGAGAATAAAAGGCGAAAATCCAAATGCCTACACAACAGTATTGATTTACTGTTACTCGAGTAACATACGTGGACACTCTGAGCGCTGCAGACTATTGTGTGAGATCGTTGAAACACGCTCTGTCAGTTGGTCACTCTCCAAAAAGAAAAGAAAAAAGACGGAGCACAAGACGCAGATGTTGATCTCCAGCGCATAGATTTATTTTTGGTTGTGCTGCGGGGGGAAAGTGACAGGGAGTGTGTGTACGTGTGTGCAAGAGTGTGTGCTTGTGATTGGTTATCCTGTGTGTGTGTGTGTGTGTGTGTGTCTACCTCAGTGAGTACACCTCCCTGTCTGTAGATCTCAGGGTCTGGAACAAACAGTAGTTCCTTCTTAATTGGGGTGAGATCTGGGGGCTTAAAGGGGGCCAAGAAGGGACCCGAACCCCCTTTTTTTTCTCCTCCAGAATCGCTTTGGCTACAGAGGTGCTTTTGATGTGTGCTTTGGCTCTGCGAGCCTTACTTTGGAATATGTTCTTGGGAGACCATTGGTTACTTGCCTCCAGGCTGAATCTCAATCCCCAGGATCCCGGCCCTCTTTGATGAAATACTTTCGGGAGCCGCTAACCCTACTGATGCCCATGTGCACCACCTCCCCCCTCCTTTGCCCTTATGTTCTCCCCCCCCACCTTACCCCCACCTCCACGTTCCTCGGATTCTCTTTGAGAGATTCATAACAAGGACTTTATCTCTGTGTAGTCCAGGCCAGATGAGCACCGCCTGACAAACTGACAGCAGAATTAGTCGTGTCTCACAGAGCACCTTTGACTGTCTCCTCTCTCGGCCCGACTTCCTGTCGTCAGGCACACGTGCGCTTTCCTTGTATCGGTACTGATTTATATCACAGCTCAGATTCCATTGTTGTGTAGGTTTTTTGGGGGGTTATTTCTTTTCAATTATAAACATGTTTTGCTTTTATTTTGAAATTCGATGGATCACAAGGAAAACATGTAGCTGTATCTGGAGATGTGTTGATGAATATGGAAACTATTTGAGTGAAAGCACTGTCAAATTTAAAAAGGGCTCCTCAAACACTCATCATAGCTGCCCAATGTGTGTATTGAAAATCCATTTTCATACCATGACAAAATCCAAAGATTTGGGATGCTGACGGTTTTGACAGAAGATCTTGGGCTCTGATTGATTAAGGCAATTAGTCAAAATGCAGACTTTATTTGCATAAAAGGGATTCGAAAAGTGACAAAATATTAAAAAAAAGAAAGAAAAAAAATCCGTTTACAGACCACTTTATTTTCAGCTAATTATACTTGTGTTAAAATCGGGGTAAATAAGTGTGACTTGATGCACTTGACCTCTCGGCCACACACACATTCAAATCCGGGTTAAACGATTAGCCAGTGATTTCCCTCTCCAAACTCCAACCTCTTCATTGATTGAAACAGCACCCTTAAGACCTTTTTTACCACATCATTTCCCTGTATATTGATTACGTATATTGATTATAATCCTACAGGAAGGCTTCCCTCTGCTTTACTGCACAGTTCGGTATCGCTCTGACTGCTGAGAGCAGGAGACTATTTTAGCTCTTGTAAATCAACAGTTTCTAATAAGTGAGCTCCGTAGTTTAAATTTGAATACTTTTTGGGAGATATTTGATAAAAATAAATATGCAAATTTAAGTGAATTACTTAAAAAAATATTTGATTTCATGCAGACTCATAATATGTCTCATAATAGTTGAACTAGTGGGATTTATGTAAATGTGCACAGAGCAAAGTGTTTATTGCTGTCCTTTGAACCTTTGTGAAAACTAACTGTACATAGAGCGGCGGAAATACTAGTGTATTTAATGTATTTAACAAACACAGTATTTTATGTAATCTATTGGCCATACAAGTACAATTCAAACCTCATAACTAAGTTACATAGAAAATAAAAACGGAAATAATGGCAAAGATTCTTGACATATAACTTTTGTTAAGTGTAAACACACATTTGTTACACAACTTGGATCAGTTAGTCTCCCAAATGTGCCACAAAGGCCAAAAAGGAAGAGCGAGGTGTGTAGACTTCATGAAGTGGGCTTATTTGCCATAAATTGTAGTATTAGGAGGAAATAGGATTAGAGTAAAAGACATGTTGATTTAAAGAAAGAAAGAAAGAAAGAAAGAAAGGGGTACCGAAAATAAAAAAAAAGGAGGGAGGCAGTGAGGAAAGGAGGGAGCAATCCGAAAGGAGGAGTCAAGCGAGGGAAGGAGCAGCTGGAGTCCCACACTTCGCCCTCTCTCTTCTCCTCGAAAAAGCGCACTAAATGTAATAACAAGTCTCCACGCGCTTCTGCGGCGCATATGTTGGTTTTACGCACATCCGCGGTCAGCTATCGGCGGATTGAATCGGCAGTCTGGTGCCGTTAGTCCGGCGGTGCTTGTCCACAGACAAACTGTGAGAAGGTGGAGAAAGACGCTCAGGAGGAGGAGAAGAAGAAGAAGAAGAAGAAGAAGAAGAAGAAGAAGAAGAGGAAGAAAACTCTGGCAGCGTCGCTTTGGAGTTGGAGTTGCAGCGTAAAAAAAAGAAAAGAAAAAAAGAAAGAAGTCTCAGCAAACTCCTGAGTCACATCTGCAACTTGGGCAGAGAAGAAGCCGAAGAAACAAGATAAAAAACGCTTCCCCCTCCTCTGCGGTGAAGAAAACGAAAAAGACAAGAGTTAGAGGGGGAATCACCCAGAAAGAAGTAAGTAATCCAGCTCACACACAGGCGCAACATTGTTGCGCTTACGTCTACTTTTAAAGTTTATAGGAGCCGCTGGTGAAGCAGTTTAACTAAAACAACAACGATGTCATTTCTTACGAGTAAAGATGTTGAGACACGAAGGTGGATTTGCAGAGGAAACACTGGTGCGAAACACGGATGAAAAGCTTCGCTTCGGAGATCCCGACAAAAACCGGGCCGACTTGTATTACAGTTGGTTCCGCCTGCGTGATTTACGCGCCGGGGAAGAAGAAACCCCGCATGGCACACTTTACAACCACCCGACGGACAGATGTGCTTTAAAAAAAAAAATAATAAGTTGCATAAAGTTAGTGGAGGCAGTTCTGAAGAACTGGTGTTTGGCTCTTTGGTGGGTTTGGGAGACACGGGGAACACGTGTGTGTATGTTTGCAGGTTTGGACTCAAACTAGATCCACTTTTGCACACATGTAACTTTATTGGACTCCTGCCTAAAGAAACGAGGGGGGGCATTCCTATGTGAATGCGTGATCGTATTTCAGGGTCTGTTATTGATTTAGTTTATTCTATACATTCCCATCTAAACCCACATTTCTTCATCACTGGTTTTATAGTATTTTCAAAGGTCGATTGGAGGCCTTGATGCAAGTAATAATAATATTGCTGTGCCCCAAAAAAAATTCATTCAATTCTATCAATTCATTTTTTTCTCACACTTGTCATTGAGCTGATATTTGGGTGTTTCAATGAGGTCAAATGTGCACTTTCATTTGACTTAACAAGTCTGGAAACTTAATCCAAACAGTTATTAACAATAATTCCAAATGAATATCTGCTTCACCCTTTAAAAGAAAAACACAAATGTGGAGAGGAACACATGTGTATGTAAGACGTGTGCTCAGAGAAATTGAAGTCTATTGCAGGGGGGTCTGTGGCCCTGCAGGGGTCCATGTGGGGTGTTTTATGGGGCCCCAAGCAACACTATAAATAGCGCAGAGCCACTATGATTTAGTGTATTAGAATTCACTTGATTTAACACAATTAAGATTGAACACAAAGGGCCGACCCAATCACGGGCTTGTCCCATTCAGAGACAGCCCTTCATTTAAAAACACAATCGACACTAAAACAGCAAACTCTCTCCTGGACTTGTTCACGGGGGAAAGTGTCTCAAACAGAAGTCTGTACAGTTTTTTTCCTTTGGAGGGTCTGGCACATGCAAACGTTTGTGAGCCCCCGAGCCTCCACATGTGTGGATATTTGTTTGAAACTTTCCCTCCTGTCCTCGCCAGCTGTTCCACATTTTATCTGCTTGTCTGCTCTCGGGTTTCATGTGGACGACGAGGGTCCGAGGTGCTCAGCCATGCGGTGCAGCTCAAATCCTCCCTCTATAGCTTTTTTGACACTTAGCGAATTATTAACGGAGCCTGGCTGCCTGGAGACGGAGCGGTGAGCGAACACACCTAATAAGATGTTTAACAGCACAAGTTCACACAGATAAAAATCTCCCTTTAGCTGTTTTTATGAGGCGCTTCTGTCATTCATCTCGGCTGTGGATTTGGCTCTGAGCGGCGGTCTTGGTTGCGTTTGTCTAATAATATAAAAAAGGTACTGTCACATGAGCTGTCACTTGATATGGCCCCTGTTTTATTTATGATAATAAAATAACATTTCACATAGGATACAAGGAGAAGTGAATCACTGTCATGTCCATGATTCAGCTCAGTTAACAATGAAAAGAACGACGCTTCAGGCCTCAGATTTTGAGCTTAATATTTAGAATTTTGAAATGACATCATGAGAATAATCTGTAAATGTAATTGTATTTATTGTGATAAAACAAACAGGGATGTACATTTATTTGCTATATGTTTGGGTTTTTGTTCCATAATAATATTTTTTTAAATAAAACAAACAAATCATTACAAATACCATAGAATAACCTCTATATCATTTTTATTTAAGGCCAAATATTAGGATGCCATCTGGTTTCATTTATATAAAATACATACAATATGATACATTTTCCACAAGCCTTAAATTAAACGTGATTAAATCAAAACTTAGAGACCAACCGATGAAAGATTAATCTGTGATTCTCTCGTTCTTTAATTTAATATTCAATAGAACAACTTTATTTGCTATTCTATATAATTTCTGTCTTTACAGTAATTCTTTTGAGAATGGGACACATTATAAATTAAATGAAACAGCTACATAATAAAAGAGCAATGCAACAATAAAGTCTATAAATATTAAAGAAGAACAGAACATGTTTTTGTATTATTTTACCTAAAGGAAAATACATTAGTGGGGAATACTGATTTCAAACAGGTGCACCTTTACCCCCCCCCCCCCCCCCTCCCAAAAAGAGAAGGACTTTGTCTCATTATGATGCAGCGGCGGTGATGAATGCAGCAGTGTTTAAGATGCTAATCTGCTTGCAATGAGATGCACAACTCTCGCTTACTGTAGCCAGCAGAGATGCATCACAGCCGCCGCCTTCCCTCCGCACCAGTCGGTCCGTCAGATAGCGCCGCCGCGGCGTATCGTTTCATCTCAACTTTAAAGTTAAAGTTATGCATAGCGACGGCGCCCCGGCTCACCCGTGACCCCGGCGCCCCGGCAGAATAAGGGCAGTTGTGTTAATGCAGCGAGATGACATGCTATTAGCTGTTGAGGTATGGCCCTCTCCTCTTTTTAAGGGCCTGGCATTCACAGCTGAATGCAGGTTCTGTCCTCAGTCTTTTCACACCCTGCAGCAAGAATACCTGTTATCAGGTCTATATGCAAGAGGCCCTAATGAGCTGTGTTGTTGTGCTAATGCAGCGACCTGAAGCCCTTAAAGAGGTGGCAGATGTTTTGTTAAAACGAGGGTAATGTGGGGAAGTTGTTTTTCCTCAAGATAATGAGCTCTGTAGTTTGTTTTCGGTGTTAGCTGGTTTGCTCTGCAGGTTTTTCTGCAGGTGGTTTGTGTTTATTGGGACCGCAAACAGGTATACAAAGGTTTTAAAATGCACAGAAATAAGTGGAAGTCTGGAGTAATTCCCTGTGTAATACGATTAGCTGTTGCTTCCCTCGCGGTGCTGAGTAGATGGACCCAAAAAGAAATCTCTCACTTTGATGATTTGGTACTTTGATATGTTGACATCAAATGAAACAGACACAGTGGGGAAAGAAAGAGGAGAAGTCAGACAGAGGTAGTGATTGAGGAAGGAGGGAAAAAAGGAAGCCGTGCATGCGCGCGTGCGTGTGTGTGTGTGGTTTGCGAGGGAGTGCCATGAAAAGTTGGGCTGAGATGGCAAACCTGAAAAGCGTCAAAAACGTCTGGATGCATTTGCGTGCGAGCAGAGACAAGAAGGGGTCTCGGGGGCTGGCGAGGGCTCCTCCTCGGCCTCCTAATCCCCAGGCCCAGCCATCCCTTCAGGGCATGCCTCAGATCTGTGCTCCCTGGCTCTCTCCGCGCCGACGACCCAGCTCCGCCGGCAGATTTAATATGCTATGTGTTCCTGCTCCCCCGGCTCCCCTCCACCTTCGACCAGCATTGTCCCAGAGCGGGACCCCCGCTCCCCGCTTCAAGGAGCCTGCTAAAGGCACCTTTCAAGCCGGGGCGATGTCTCCCGGATGAGGCGCGCTGACGACGTGGGGAGGAAGAGGGCGCGAGGCTCCAGATATCGCACAGTAATTTCAGATATGTACATTACACACATCCAGGGCGTTTAACGCACTTGAGGGCTTTTTTGCAACAAACCGCACAGCGACACATTCACCTCGCCGCACTCAAACTGCATGCATGTACATGCAATCTGCTGCTCATTCACACTTCCTTCCTTCCCTCGCTCATACACATGCGAGTTGAGAATTTATTTTGTCCTTTTGGTCTTTTTCCCTTTCTTGCGGAAGCCCCCCCTCCCCTTTTTTTTCTTAGTTTGTCCAAAGAAATTCAAAATGGGAGGGAAACGAGTTGCCTTAGCAGGGGCTGAGGGAGGGCTGGATAGTTTTCCATGGCTCGGGCCTGTTGGAAACTCCAACCGTACATGATAATTAGTCTGGTCAACTGCTCCCCCGGAGTGAGGCACTGAGGACGGCCATTAAAAAAAAAAAAAAGAGAGAAAAAGAAGGAGAAAAAAAAAAAAAAAGCACTGAAAACAGTAAAGTACGTTTGCATCAAGTGAGTGGAATTTACGATCGATTAAATCAGGTCTGACAGCTCAACATAAGCCCGGTTGTGGGTCATGGCAAATTTTATTGCAAACACTCGGGCTTGTGCGCGAGAACGCAAAGTGTGCCAGCGAGCGGCCGCGTGTTTATTTCCCACACTTGAGGAGAAGCAGGACAAGTCGCGCCTGCACGCGGGCGCCGCTCATCCCCTCCTCTGTTTGCTCTAGCCGCCGTAAAAATGTCTTTAGGTCCGCGGTGTGAAGTATAGCAGCAAGAGGTGAAGTGCTTTGGTTATGGGGCCCCATTTGCTCAGGTAAAAAACCTTGAGCCCCCTAAAGACGCCGTGTCCCGGGGGGGGGGCTGTTATTGCAGATGTGGCATTGTGTCAGTCTTTGACGGGAGCCCGTTGTGGCATCCGTGAGGGGGTCTTGTGCTTCCCCGAGCGGGGCGGCGGCGGTTCGCGGGGGGGAGGACAGATGAGCTGGCCTCTCGCTGTGAACAATGATCTGTCACTTACCCCTGCCTCTCGCTGTGTGAAGCCATGAGTCAGGCTCCGGGATACGTGCACCCTCTGGGCAAATGATCTGAACTAAAAAACAACAAAACAAAAAAAACGCTTTATCGTTTGCTGTGCGTTATCCGAAACAAAACTCCTGCCCTCACACCGGTAATTAAATGATGCATTGTCATGCAATAGCGCCCACAATGTGCACCCCGTGTGTTTGCAATCCCATGCTGCTCGGTCGTCTTTCAGTGGGACTTTTCCCTGAGTATTGTTGCATCCCGGAGTGGAGGTCAATGGGGGCTCTATTGTTTGAATGTCAAATGTAAATCCCAAGGTTAATACCTGAAAGAAGCGCACGCCCGGACATTCTCTCTCCTCTCCAAACATGTTTAGATGAGTACCTCTTCCCCCACTCTGCTCCTTCATTTCCGTCCGCTGTGGACTTGGGGCAAGTTAGAAATGGGGGAGGGGGGAGGGGGGGGGGGGGGTGCATCTCATATGAACCCCTCTCTTCTCAGCACTGAATGCTAACAGAGCCTGCCTCTAATAATGCCTCATCTTGGAAAAACAAAAGAGGAACTCTACTATCTGAGCAAATTTCTGCCCCGACCTGAAAGAGCCCCCCCCCCCCCCCCCCTCCTTTGACAGCGGAGCATTTGAAGACTAATCGTTTTTTCTCATGCAAAGCACGCTGTTTTAAGAGCCCGGGCCTCGGGAAGAGAGGGGGCTGTGTTTTAACAATACTCCGCAGGGAGTTAGGAACAGGGTTTGGGGAGGGGGGGGGGGGGGCAGGGTTGAAGGGGTGGGGGTATTCCTCTCTCCTTTGCTCCTTCAGACAAAGCCCAGTTCCTTTCAGGGTTGCATGGGGGGTAGGGTGCATGGGGAAGGAGGAGGGAGCATCCGAGAGTTTTGAGTTCCTTAAAAGAGAGGGACTCCAGCCGGTTTTAATGACAGTTAGTCGTCATGAATCCTGCACCTCGCAGGGAAAATGCCGGGCCGGCCTGGCAGTGACAGGCCTGGAAAGAAGTGGGCCCGGGAAAATTTATAGAGAAACAGAAATGTTAACGTGTACGCGGGGCCCCTAAAACGGCTTTGCCTATTCCTGCCAGACTTGTGTTTTTATTAAGAGGGGTCGACATGCTTTGGAAATATATCTTATTCATGAAGAACGCCAGGTTAGGCTTCCCAAAGAATTCATTATACTCCCCCCCCCCCCCAGATGCGGCTTTGCGGGTTGCGGCCCGTCCCTCGGAGGACGTGGAGCGTGGAGCGCGACATTGTAAAGGCTCCCTCAGTGGGCGCGGGGAGTTGCGAAGGGTTCCATTTGTCAAAAGGTGCCCGGGTCTTTTTCCCTCCTCAACACTTTCCCGGCTCAGCCTCAAACTCATTGTCTGAGCAAAGGCAGGACATTAGTCACCGCAACGCCACGGGAGCCTGCGGGGCTAAGGACCGGCGCTCTGCAGCCCGGGCTGGGACAGAGGGGAGGAGAGAGAGAGAGAGAGAGAGAGAGGGGAGAGCCAAGGAGGGAGGGGAGAAGGGAAGGAGGGAGAGATGGATAAGGTGAGAGCGGGGCAGGAAGGGAGGAGGAAATGTGCTGGTAGCCCCGAAAAGTGAGGAGGAGAGTGCAGAGCATGTGTGTGGGAGGGGGAGAAAGACCATGGGGGGGTTAGAGGGAGTGGAGTCTGTAGTTCTACCTCAGGGCTCAGTACGTAAGCCCCTGTCTACCCCCCAAAGCTGCTTTCACAAAGAGATTTACAAGACAGGTCTCCGGTGTGCTTTGCTGCCCTGCATTATGAGTGAGTGAGCGTGTCAATGTGTGTGTGTGTGTGTGTGTGTGTGTTACCGGAATGGACTTTTCATTTTATTTTTCATCAGGACTTGTTTTTGCATCATCTAAGCAGGAAATATACTCACCTAAATGTACCAATCAAGGAAGGTCAGACCCACGGTAGAGTGTGAATAACCTATTCCCCCTGGTGGCAGTGTGTGTGTGTGTGTGTGTGTGTGTGTGTGTGCGTGTGCATTCATGTGTGAATGTATTTCACAGATTCACACATACAAGGGATCCTGTTAGCTTTTGGAATTATTTATAAAGCCTGGCTTTTGTGTGGCGCTCTAAGTCGCTGTCTCCTCCCATTACTGCCTATGACTCTACCTGGGGCTTCCATCCGCCGGCCTCCCCAGCACCAGCAACCGAGTTTGGTGTTATATCTAAAACCTTTGCAGCTCCTTTCCTCCGATACTCTCTCTCTCTCTGGCTTAAGATCTGCTCTCCTGGAAAAATTGTGTTTTCATTTAAAAAGGCCTAAACCTAACGAGACAAACTATACATTTCAGAGACAGAGACACGCAAAGTTGCACCAACCCCATCCCATATGGCCTTGATTACCCTCTAATCCAGGAAAGTTTTTTTTTCATTTTTCTAGCGCGGGCCGAGCCGGGTGAAGGTTTTAGTGTGTTTGAGACGGTTTATGCTAATGTTGCTTTTATTGAAACAAGCCGGGATGCGATTATGGTCGCGCTCGGTGCACATGAGCAGCGCACCGCTCCGGTCTCCCCCGTCCCCCCTCTGGCGCGGAGATCAATGCAAACCAGCTAACGCGGGGTAATAAGCTATTAGTACCCACATTGTTGGGGGAGATTTACATACATCGACCGGCGGACTGATAAACTGGGTTCCCGTGTCCTAGAGGTAACAATTACTGTGTGTGTGTGAGTGATTAGCTGCGTGTGAACCGTCGCCGGGCGACTGCCAGTCCTGTGTGATAGGTGCCAGATTGCGTAGCTGGGAGCCAGGTTGTCTCTGCTTGTCAGAGGGGGTGGGGGGGGGGGGGTGGAGGAGATGTGAGGCTGATCACACTGTACACTGTTTCTCTGATCTGATTCATCACTAGCCGTCTCTCTCCCGCAAAAGGGTGAACTTATTATACCCCGTCTCAACTTCCAGCGCGGAGCCAGCTGCTCTCCATGCTTCCCAATTAACCCCGGGCTCCCGTCAAACGCTCCAATTAAGGCCTCCGCCTCCTCCGCCTCCTCCTCCTCCTCCTCCTCCGCCTCCGCAGACTTTGCCCGTGTCAGCGGGTCGGGATGAGAGTGGTGAGTGAGCGGGCCGGGGAGCGCTGAGCATGTTTGTTTAGTAGCTGTCTTAAGCGATGGTGTTACAGCTCCCAGATTTATGCGAGGCGGGGTTCTAAACAGCTGGAACGAGCAAACACACCCCAGATGTTTGGCTTCCTCGCGACGGAGCCGGCGGGCCTTGAGGGGGGGGGGGCCTGTCTAATGACGGCCTTGTTTCCACGGGGCCATTTTGTGACTGCGCTCCGTGGAGTTTATGGGGAGTGTTTTTTTGTCGAACGCTTGTCAGCGGCGTGAGGTTTATGGCATCGCGTTCCAGCGGGCCCCGTCGCGGCGTGATAGCGGCTCGGGCATTTGAGTTGCTGCGAGTTTCTTCCAAACTCAGCCTTTTCAAAATGAAAAAAAAAAATAAAAAACTCAGCTCAGGTGGGGTAAACAGGTCTTGCAGCACCGGCAAATCTTCTGAGACTCCCTGCGCGCGCATGTGTGTGTGTGTGTGTGTGTGTGGAGCCGGCACGCAGGGATGGGGGGGGGGCTCTGTGGCTGATATGAAAGTGAAGGGAGAGAGTTGTCTCCCGCTGCTGCCGCTGGGAGAGCCGTCAGGGAGCCAGAAGTCTCCGGGACTCCCTCTGAGCCTCGGCTGCCTTTGATCCCACATCTCCGCCGCAGTACACTCCCCACTGCCGCAGACCCCTGCAGCACGGACCCACCGAACATCCCCCGGCCCGAGACCTGCACGAGGGCCACGGAAACCCAACTCGCGGTCGTTGGTTTCACATGAAAGACACCACCACTCGTGCAACGAAGACACTTGTGCAAGAAGAAGAAGAAAATATTGAGCTGCAGCAGCTGAACATCAGACATCACATCAGTTGATCTGTTTCCAT